ATATATATGTACGAAGCCTCCTCACTCAGATCATCTCGATACAATGTTGAAAAGACATCGCTCGACTGTGGAATCATCGATACCTCACGATGTGGTAGAGCTCATCCTCGAGACACTTCCTCTGAAGTCTATGCTGAGATTCAAGTCTGTATCCAACAAGTGGAAATTCACAGTTGAGTCCCCAATTTTCAAAGAAAGACAGTTGATCCGTCGTAGGCTATCTCGAGGTTCAGATGTCCTTTTCGTGTCGGGTAATTATCCTTTTGCTCTTGATGGTGATGCTCGAACATTTGTGTTTGGGTCATCAATAGTTTCTACGGCAAGGTTCCGTAATTTAGGCTCCAGAATCTGCCGTGGTAGTTGTGACGGTCTTGTGTGCCTCTACAATGTATACGCACCGCCCAATGCCGTGGCAAATCCCGCCACTGGATGGCATAAAGTTTTTCCTCTTTCCACCATTCAACAGTTCGTCGGTATGGCTGCTAACAGAAATTTGGCTGCTAACAGAAATTTTAGCTCCCCATTTTCTTACCTTGGATTCGGTAAAGACAAATTCAGGGGCACATACAAGCCGGTTTGGTTATATAACTCTTCCGAATTTGGCCTAGAGAACGCTACTACTTGTGAAGTTTTTGATTTTAGCACTAACGCGTGGAGGTACCTTCTCCCTGCGTCTCCTTATCGGATTCTTGAGTTCCAAGAACCCGTGCATTTCGATGGCTCCCTTTACTGGCTGACCGAGGGTGAAGAAACCAAGGTATTATCATTTGATCTGCACATGGAAACTTTTCAAGTCCACTCCAAAGCTCCCTTTCCCCATGCACCTGACCCTCACGACGTCGTCTTGTGCATCCTCGATGACCGCTTATGCATATCCCAGAAAAACTGGCCCAACCAGGTCATATGGTGGTTCGATTCTTCTTCAGGCACATGGAAGGAGATGTGTTCGATAGATCTCACCAAAACTCTTTCTTGGTTTGATTTTGGGAAGGAGCCCATGTACGTGCTGGCTCCAATAGCAATTCTCGAGAAGAATAAGTTATTGCTTCAAGGTCGTGATTACTTTGAACCAGTGATGATTCATGATCTTGATACTAAGTCTCTTGATTTACTCTTCAACCCTATCAATCCCGTAGGTCCTGTTTCTTATTTTGAAAGCTTATTAACTGTTTGATGAAAAGGGATCATTTGTCTCGTTTTCTTTATATTCCAGTGAACCATTGTAATTTTATCATTTTTCTGCATCCTCAATGTTTGCTACTCTTTAATTAAAAGAATATGCCTGTGATATTGAGTTTGTGTCATCCATTTTACTATGTCTACTCTTCCTCACTATTAACTTTGCAGCTTCAATGTATATATACCATACGGCGTTCGGTTTACACCCTCTAAAGTCAATTTCCTTAAGCAACTAACACGCATCTTTAAGAAATTATGACTTTACAAGAATCTTAGGATTTCATTTATTGCTCATGCGTCTCTGCTTGGACAATGAGTCTTCATATGTCTCAAAGGTAGATATGCGATTCTTTCATTTCTCACAAGTCTAATGTGACTCAACTTCCGGATGCTTAGACATGTTGGTTGCTCTTATGGTTACCTTCTTCTTGTCGTGGCCGTCTGTGCTAAACGCCTAAACCATTCTGACTGTGAACCCCTTTTGTGTCCTCCTGTTATGTGTGACCTTTGTAATGACGTCTTTTGCTTTCGTTATGCTTTTGTCTTTCTACAATCCTCTATATATATTAATTTATGAGACACTAAAGTGAAAATCCTATGTGTCACTCAATGAGGATTTTAAGGAATATGTTATTTAAATTAACCAATGAGAACATTTCAACTAAAACTATATGTCATAGTAAAAATCTCTACATATTCTTATTAATTTTGTAACATAAGACTATTAATACATGTTTTACAAATCTAAATCCAACTAAATGTAATATTTAGCTTACC